ATTTTGCGTTAAAAACTGAGTTTCCAGTTTCTCCCACTAAATAAAAGATCTGATGACCTTAACACATTTGCACATGGAAAATACATAAATGTAACTAGAACAAGACAATCACTACCCCCTTCCAGAAGTTATCCAAGTTTCTCCCCATCTATTCTCTTTCACTCCCTTATATCATCACCTGGGTCCTAACGGCATGGTGACCCTTTTAAAGGGATCCCTTAAAGGAATAAACTGGTATGAACTGCAAAGCCAATCATTATTAGACTTTTCCCCAAAAAATACCCAGTGAGAGATTCTTGAGTCAATATCATGCCAGCTGTGATGGAAGGTAAAGCTTATGAGACCGAAATGACTTGAGAAATAGAAAATTCCAGTGGACAAGCCTGTTGGATTTTTGCTCTAGGATACTTATCTTCCCTTTGGAAAACAAGTTTGCTTTTATTATTTCATTTCTTCCTCCCAACAATCTTGCAAGGAAGGAATTACTCTCAGGTGAATAAACAAGATGATGCAATTAGGAAATTGCAAGCCTTAAAGGTTTTGAACCCAGCTCTATTTAGACACAAACAAATGCTTTTGATATAACAAACATTCTGTAATTCCAGGAGTCTTATCTCTCTCTCTCTCTCGCTCGCTCGCTCGCTCGCTCGCTTGCTCTCTGGCTCTGTCTGGCTATCTCTCTGTCTCTTTGTCTCTCTCTATCTGGCTCTCTCTCTCTCCTTCATATGGATGGGTGTCTCCTTACTCACCGTTTAAAGTGAGAGCTGGGCTCCATAGCATCAGCCTCACCTGGGATAAAAGACAGACTCTCATGTCCCTTCCTGATACACGAGAAACAGCACCTGCCCCACAAGTCACATGCACTTAGAATCGAACAAGGACGATTCTCCATGCCCACTCCCCAGTGAAAACATAGTGTGAGGCACAAGTCTAAATTCAAAGGTTCTAGTAGGTATATCTGAAAAATATGAAGAGGCTTGCTTGTTACCACCTCCCTCACCTCTCTTTAAAATGTCAGTTCCAGGAGAAGAACCTCTCTTTAAAATGTCAGTTCCAGGAGAAGACATTTTCTTTTGTCTTGTTCACCAAAGTACTGGCCACACAGCGACTGACTGCACAGCTATGATAAAGATGATTGGAGGCAGGAAGGAATGGATCCTTCTAGAACTCTGTGTGGTAGCATGGTACATGGAAACAAAGCAGTCCATGGGAGTTGGACGGAAGGTCAGTACCAGCCGAGCTACTAGAAGCAACTCACTTCCCCTTGGGAACCCCTCTGTAAAAGTGGAGAGTTTGTCCAACACACAGCCTCACACAAAACCAGAGGGTGGGATTCATCTCTGAAGCACCAGCCCCCATTACAGATACGGTTCATACCAGCCTCTTTCCACCATCCTCCTTCATTCTCTGTGCAGTCCCCATGTGCAAACGATTCCTGGACCATGTTCCTCTGGGACACATGGGCAGTGCACAATGGACACATGATTCAAACTGCTTTCTTACCCCAGCCTAAGAACATGTGTTTTAAACTGCTGGCAGCGAAGATGTGGACACAACATGAAGCCATGGAGGGTCAGTTCCCATCACCTTGGAGCTCAGTGGCCTCTAAAGCAAAGTCGCCAAGATGCCCAGGACAAGCAAGATAACGCCTGTCATCTCAGTTGCTCTGTCCTGCTGTGGACAGTTGACCTGCCGCAAAGTTTCTAAAATGAACTTAAGGTGGCCAGAGGAACTCTTTTATCAGTTCATCTAAGGAACCAAAGTACAGGAACTTGGACACATGTGAGCATTTGGCCAACAGGACCCCTAGCATCATATGATCCTTGAGCATCACTAGGTACAACCTTAAAGGCTCCTGAAGTTCCACTAGATGTGGCCCTAGTGACCTTTAAGTGAATAATCCCTGAGACCACAGCCCCCAACAGAACCACATCCTTGGACCCCTGCACTGAGCACCACTTGGGAGACATTCCCCCCACAACCCACCAAAAAATGGACCATGGTAGCTTTGCTCTTTAAATATTTGGTGGGGAGGATGTGTTAGGTGAAAAAAAGAACAGACGGTTCAATCTAGTCCCCACAAACTTATCAAACACTGCCCTATGTCAAGCTACCAAATGAAGCATCTCAGTAGCTTTAACACACATGCCCTAATCCATTAGTCTCTCGGGCCTATTAGTCCACCTGAGGCGCATGTTCTCATCTCTGGCGTGTTTTTAAATCACATTAGCTCAACAGCATAGGAGAAGGCAGACCCTGGCTTTAAAGCTATGGGGAGTGACACGACAGAGTGGAGATCAACCTCCCAGGCTTCTGGGCTGGCTGGGAACAGCCCTGACTTCTGCTCTCCCTCTTGCTGAAAGCACAGACAACATAAAGACCTGAAGAATTAGCCGTGCATGTGGAAAAGAGAAACTGAAATAAGAAAATGGCGAGAAAGCCGACGTTTTTCATGAATCTCGAATCGGGTGAAGGATCAGGATTTGGATGAGCTTGTACCTATCTATCTACGGCAAGGGAAGTGGCGACACTAAGGAGAGAAGCCACTGCTTTTCAAAGATAATGAGACAGCGCAAGGATACGAGAATAGGATTTCTGTCACTGGTCTGAATCAACACTACTGTTTCCTCTTCTACAGCATAGTATGCATGTGGTCCCCTTTTCCTGCATCAGAGATTGAAAGGAATATGAGTAAATTGGGGGGAGGGGGTGAGTCCCACAGAGGTCCTCAGAGAAGGGGTCCCTGGAGAGATGACACATGGCCCAGGGCCAGTCCCACCAGTTCAGGTCCTTTGGGTCCCAGACCCTTCTCAGCAGTCACATGTGGGGCTGAGGGTCCGGCTGTGGCGAGCAGCTGCTCTTTCAGCCCTGCAAATGAGTGCTGCCAAGAATTCTCCTTGGATAAGGTTTGGAGATGGCAGATAGGACACAGAGACGACGCATGATGCTCTTCAGTAACTATCAAGGGAATGCAGTTCCATCCACGTGTCTCAGGCTAATTGTTCTAGGACCGGTTACCGGGTATTGACAACAGGACCCCAATACCATAAGCGATGGCCAAGGATACCTGGGATGCAATAGTATCTTCAACGGGTAAGACTGACCCCTGGGGTAGTTTATGTGCTGACTCTTAACAGTTTCAGTACACACACACACACACACACACACACACACACACACACAGCAGAAAGCGGCAGCAGCAAATCTGGTCTTTCTTATCCTCTTATTCAAAAAAGTCTGGAGCCACTAAGAGGGGCTTCCCAACAAGCCTTTCCTCACTAATTCCTCAACTTCATCCTAAATCTTCTGAGTGAACCAAGCCCCCACGTTTTCTCTTTTTCCAACTGCTGCTGAACCCATACACATCCTGGAAAGATTGGACCAATCTTTCTTCTTTATGCTGAGGGGCAGCTGACATTTCTCCCAAGATACACAGCTTTAAAGTTAGTACTGGAGAGAGCCACCCTCAGCCCTCAAGAGCCAATGTCACACCACAAAGAAGCACAGAGCCATCCTATAACCAACAGTTAAACAACTAAAACCTTCCCAGACATCAGACTCTGTATTTTGCTGTTGTTGCATTAATCATCCTAACACCTTTTAAATTATAACCGCAAACTGGAAGCCATGGCTTGTGATGTTATAAATACTGATTTTTCCAGTTAAATTAGGCATTTGATGTTTTATGTTTTGATAGGAAGGGGCTGTTTGAAGCCTCCTAAAATATTGCAATTAGTTCTCTCTGTTGAAACAGACAAGACAGTAACAGACACATTCGCTGCTTCAGTTTAATGTGCTGGAATGTGTATGCTGAAGTGTACTTGAAGCTTCGAAAACACGCAGCACATTTTTAAAAGTTGAAGAAAATGATCACAATACATACATTTATATACCTGTGAAGTCACTTCTAAAACTTTACCTGTCTGTACTTTCCATTTAGAAAGCACCTCTCTTCCCTGGGAAGAGGACTTGTCAAGAAACAAGCCTTATTTTATCAAGTGGCTCTGTTAAGATGATAACATCACCTTACCTGACAAACCCTGTGTTTCTGTTTGACAAATGCAATTAATTACTCAGATGCAACCGATGGGGGACCAGCCAACCAAATCTGCTTTCGAGAGAGGCTTAAAAAGGGGAGCCAAGAGGTGAAAAATTTGTCTGTGAGGCATTTGCACCACTCATGTCTCAGATCTACTGGCTGGCTAACAGAATCGTGCCTTTATTTTACCTGCACTGAACTTTCTACCCTCCTCTCCCTTCTCTTGGGGACACGCGGTGCGAAAGGAGGGCTGCGGACCATCTCCCAAGACGGCGACTCCCCTCTCTCTTGGGATGGAGGCGCCCAGTTAGAAGTCCTCCAAACTCCCGAGATACCCACTGCCCTGTAGACACTGCACCCTCCGTGTTATAGCCATCCAAGTGCTCACTCAGCCAGCGGGGAGGGAAAGTTCTGGAGATGGGGAACACCTTTAGTATTTACTAGAAAGCCCAGACTCGCCGGCATCAAACGTTTAACCGTTCCCTGCTCGCTTTTGCTCTAATCTGAAAACCACCAAAGTTGGATTCCAGCTACGCAAGTGCCTGGGAGAGCGATTCCCGAGAGCTTCCGAGGGGGATCTCAAAGCCCCCGTTCATCCGTCCAGCGATCCCGCTACGTTTCAACACGGATGCGCTGAGACCCGGGGAACACCCCGCGGGCACCCGGACGTGGGGATTCCCCGGCGCGGAGCCGGCACCTGCAGAAACCAGCTCAGACCCGGGAGCAGGCAGGGCAGCGGGGCGCCGGCCTCCCTTCCCGGGCAATCAGGTGCCGCTCGGCCCGCACCCCGGGCGCGCTGCACCGCGGCCCGCGCCCTCCCAGGAGCTCCGGCTGGCGAGGCGCCCGCGCGCGCGCCCGCCCGGGGCCGGGGGATGCGCGGGGCAGGCGGCGGCGTCCCCCGCGGCTTGCCCCTCGCGGGGCGTGCGTCCCGTCCCGCCCGCCGAGCCCCCGGGGGTCCTACCTGTACCACTCGAGCCCCTTCTCGTAGTTCCTGTCGAAGAAGTGCGGCTCAACGCCCACCGCCCGCACGTCCGGGTGGACGCGGATCGCTTCCAGCAGCGCGCGGGTCCCGCCTTTCTTGACCCCGATGATGAGCGCCTGGGGCAGCTTCTTCTCCCCGTAGTCGGGGGTGCTGGCGGCGCCGCCCCGCTCGCCGCTGGCGTTGGCCGCCCTCCGGCCTGCGAGCTCCTCGTCGGCGGTGCTGGACTCGGGCGCGTCCCTGTCCAGCAGCAGCGCGCTGGGCGCCGTCACCATCGCGCCGGGCGCCAGCGGGGTCCGGAGCCAAGCGTCCCGGGCGCCGCCGCCGCCGCCGCTCGCCAGCCCCCAGCCCTCGTTCGCCGGGCCGGCGGGCCGCTCGGGGGCTGCGGGGGGCTCGGGCGGCGCCCCCCGGCTCGCGTTGTCCGGCGGCGGCGGCGGCGAGGGGGCGCCCGGGCGCGCGGGGGGAGGCGGCCGCGAGGGTGGCGGCGGGCTCGGCGGGGGCTCGGCGGCGGCGCCCGGCGGCTCCTGCAGCGCCAGGGGGAACTGCAGCGAGCCCGAGCCGCCCAGGAGGCTGTAGCACAGGTAGGTGACGGACAGGGACAAGGTGCACATGAAGAGCAGCTTGCGCGCCGGCGGCCCCTTAGCCGAGACGCCGGGCGGCGGCGGCGCGGCCAGCGGCGGCAGCGGCGGCGGCGGCGGCGGCGGAGCTGCGGGCCACGGGGCCATCGCGGCTCCCGGCTCGCGGCGGCGGCGGCGGCGGCAGCCCCCGGCGCTGCCCGGACATGGTTTCAGCCGCCGCCCCCGCCGCCGCCGCCGCCGCCGCTGCCCAGCCGCCCCGGCTGCATGAAGCGACGCCGCCGCGCCCTCGGTGCCGGCCGCTGTCCCGCTGCGCCGGGGGGGAGCCCGGCCGCATGGCCCCCCCTCCCCGCGCCGCCCGCCCCCCGCGGCGAGCCCCCGCCTGCGGGCCAAGGGGGCACCCTCGCCGGCGGCACCTGCTCCGTCCGCCGTGCCCCCGCTCCGCCGGCTCCGCCGCGGCCCCCGCTTCGGCCCCTGCCGCCGCCGCCGCGCGCGGGCGCAGCCCCGAGTTCCTTCCCCGCTGCTAACTTTCTGCGGGGAGAGCGCGAGGCGCCGAGGGGAGGCGGACGGGGCCGGGCGCGCGCCCCGCGCCACCGACGGAAGGGGGGTGCGCCTCGCGCGCGCCTGCGGAGGGGGCCGCGGAGCGGGGGCGTGCGCTAGGGCTGGGGCACCCCGCGAGGCGGAGACCGTGCCCCCCGCCCAAGCACACGCGCGCGCGCATGCACACACGCACGCACACACACACACACGCGCGCGCGCACCCACGCGCAGACACACGTGCACACGCACCCGCGGCTCCACATTGCACACGCACGCCCGGGAGGGGCTCCCCGCCCAGCCCCGCGCGCCTCCCCTCTCCCCGGAGCCCGCGTCGCCCGCTTCTCCGCCTCTTTCCTAAGACTTTCCGGACGACTTCGAGCCCCAGCTGGCCCCCGGCTCCGCGCACCAGGCACAGGAGGGGACCCCAAGACCGTGGCCCTCACTGGTCCCTTTGCCCTGGGACGCCGGCCGGCTCGACCCAGCCCTGCCCTGCCCTTCTCTCACCTTGGCTAGCCACCTGCCTCCCGCCCCAGCGTGATTTCTTCTCTCTCAGCAGCTGCTCCATGCCAACTTTCAGCTACCCCCCATCGTTGCTGGAAGTGCTCCCTGGGTGGAGTTTCGTGCAAAGCCCCGCACCCCGGGTCTCCCTGCCCCTACGCCGGTCCCGCCGCCTGCGGTCTGTGATTCTGCTCCGGGACAGTCGTATCCACCAACGGGCACACACCTTCGCCAGCCACGTGCTGGCACTGGCTCTGAGGGTTTTCCCAGAACTGAACTGTGTCTCCAAGCCCCCTAATAAACAGGGACAAGAAGCTGGGTGTCTGTGCATTGTTTCACTGAATTAAAACATTTTTTCAAATTTTTATTTGCCGAGAGCGGTCTACTTCTCCGCCTTGGGAAGTGGGGGTTGGGAGGATCGGAGGGGGAAGGTACTAGCCAACATCAGGAGACTTGGGAAGATTCTAGAGTCTGCTTCCTGTTGCCTTTTGCTGGGGAGGAAGGGAAATGGAGCTTGGAGTGGAGGGTGGGAGGAAGAGGAAGAGGGAACAGAATCATCACCTGAAACCCGGAAATCTCCTACTTGAGGACAGCGACTGGCCTTTCCGCATGTCACTCGGTCTGTTCGGAGTGTTAAGGCTGACTCCAGCTAGCCCTGCAACCTGGCAGCCCCCCGCCCCTCCCCACACCCTGCCAGCCGCAGCGAGGTACCTGAAGGGTCTTCTTCCACCTCTTGGGCTGATGCTGTTGGCACTTCAGGTTTTGTTTGATCGCGTAATAGGAACAATAGTTGAAAGGAAATGTATGCAATGTCTAAATATTAACTAGCTACGGAGTGCCAACGAGGAAGGGAAACGTTAATCAAATAAGATGAAGAACACGGACTTTTCCCTGAGTTAACAAAAGCTCACTGCTGCTCTCAGCTGGACACGAGCTTCCTTCACTGCGGCTTTAGTTCAGATAAAGATTATTCCTTTATAATATATTTTTTATGGTACACTGGAGACCTCTGAAATGCAGAGTCTGGTGTCCTGTAAATCATTCCGTGTAACTAGGGATGCTTTTTCACACACCGCACAACTGTGTTGGGTAACAGAACCGGGATGGGCCAACTGATGCTGAGAAACACAGGCACCCTGTCTTTTTCAGCTCCCAAGCTGCTTCTAGAGGGGCTACATTGGGAGGGGGAGTCCCGGGCCTCAACAAATGCCAGCAAGGCCAGGCCCACCTCCCTGCCAAGGCCCAGAGATGCCAAGTACCGCTTGACCAGCATGCTCCTGCCCTGAGCCCTACCCTTTCCAGATCAGCCTCAGCAAATCAAATAGGGCTGGTCCGTAGCCAGTATTAAAATGTGCTGTCACATTTTGAAAGGATTTGATAGAATGATGACAAAATCTAATTCAGAAGGGGCAAATGAAGACGGAGATGTGGCAAACGCAAATACCAAGGAATGCAAACTCGGGGCTGGATCCACAGCACAGCCGGTTAAGGCGTTGGCCTTGCACGCTGCCACCCAGGGTTCGATTCCCAGCATCCCATATGATTTCCCCCCCCAATCACCTGCCACCAGGGGTTCGATTCCCAGCATCCCATATGATTCTCCCCCCCCCCCATCACCGCAAGGAGTAATTCCTGAGTGCAGAGCCAGGAGTAACCCCTGTGCATCGCTGGGTGTGACCCAAAAAAGAAAAAAAAAGAAATGTAAACTCTAAGCAACATTTAAAGATGGAGAACTCTTCCCCCAAAAGGGCTTTCCCCCAAAATATTTCTGCTGAAAGATCCTCCAATTTTTATAGTATCCACCACAACATTGTCTCCACCACACACACACACACACACACACACACACAAACATACACACATTTGTGTTAGGGTTCTGAGGTTAGGCTTTAGGGCACAGCTAGTAAAGAAACTTCCCAATGTCTCTTCTCCCTCTTGTCCCAAATAATAATTTGGGTTTTGTTTTTTACTTAGTTGCTCAGGGATTCCTCCTGGTTCTCTGCTCACAGATCACTCCTTGGTGGGGCTCAGGGGATCAAACCTAGTTTACCCATGTGCAAGGCAAATGCCTTAACCTCTGCACTATTTCTCTGGTCCCAAGATACACTTCAACCAGATACCCTTGAAAGAATGGAATCCCATTCTTGGTATAAGATCCCATTGGTGTAAGATCCCAGGACCTATGAGGAAAAGGTGATTTCCTCACCCTCCTCCCACCCCCCACCCACAGCACTATAGTACTGTCCTCCCTTTGTTCATCCATTTGCTCAAGTGGGCACCAGTGATGTTTCCATTGTGAGACTTGTTGTCACTGTTTTTGCCATATTGAATACGCCATGGGGAGCTTGCCAGGCTCCGCCATGTGGGCGAGATACTCTCAGTAGCTTGCTGGTCTCTCTGAGAGATATGGAAGAATTGAATGCGGGTTGGCCACATGCAAGGCAAATACCCTACTCGCTGTGCTATAAGACTCCCCCAAATGGTAGCTCTACAGCCCACCACAGAAGCCCAGGGAGATGGCTTAAAGCGGGCTCATACTCCCGCCCCCAGAGGGAAAAAAAATCCATTTTGTAGATAACTCACGTAAGCAGTCACCTTACTTTCCCCAACTCTCCTGATTGAGGCTTTTTCTGTGAATCAGGCTGAAGAACCCTCTGATGAAAAGAAGGAGCTATGAACTATCTTCACTCAACAACCCCCAGAATGTCTGACAACTAGAGATTGTATTGCTCTCTTCCCCTACGAACAGCTTTGCTCACTCAGGCCCGTCTGAGTTCTAACGAGATTCCTGCAAGTGGTCTCCAGGACTTCAGCCTGTTTCATTTCTATCCATCCTAGGTAACACCTATGACAAATCAATATTTCTAATGCCTGCTTCTACCAGTGCCCTCTCTGACCCCAAATTCCTTCTCTCTCAGCTTCATTAATAAATTCTGACCTCTTCTCCACCTTTGCACTTAAGGGCCCTTCCACCTTCCCTGTGTCTCGCATGCCTGCGGAACCAAACAGTATACACTATCCAAATGCAGGCACACGCATGCTCTGTTCCTTCTCTGATCAAATCATAAGGGTTAGCCAGAGCTACCCATTGCTAAATAACTGACTTTGGACAGGTGATTTCACCTCCTTGAGCTCCCCTTTCTGAATAGATAAATGATGATCTCAATTTATTTTTAATAGGAATTAGATGGACTTAGATAGTGTATGTGAAAGTATCTGGCTCTCCGCCTGATAAGTGGTGACTCACAATCATTATTTGGATCTAAATATTAGCTCATGCTGTGCCCTGCTTCTTTTTCTATTAAAATCTTATCCTTGAGAACCCTTGTGCTCTATTGGTGAAAATACTAACTAGTCCAGCAACTGGAAAAATAGTATGGAGACTTGTCAAATTTTAAAAAGCAGATCTTACTATCAACCCAGCTCCTCCTTAGATATTCTTAAATATCTATCCACAGAACATAAAAGCGCTAATTTGAAATGATATCTACACTCCTCTGTTGATTGCAGTACTACTTACAACAGCCAAGCTGTGGAAACAACTCAATGTCCAACAACAGATATCAGCATATCAGCGTAAGGATAACGCAACATATATACACAATGGTTAAAGACAGTGATGGATATAAACACAATACTACTCAGCTATAAGAAAAGATGAAATCTTTACATTTACAACACCATGAATGGGAATTAGAGGGAGTTATTATAAGTAAAATAATCAGAAAGAGAAAAATAAGTATATACTCTTATCCATATGTGGGATATAAAAAAAAGCAAGGGAAAAATGTAGCTAAATCAAAAGCAATCCCTTGGATTCTGATTGCAAACTTGAGATCATCAAAGAGAACTGAGCAGAAAATCAAGCAGGAAAGGGTGCTGGTATTTTGGTGATGGGTCTAGTGAAAAGGTACGAAGTCCTGCTCCTAAAAGAGTATATAAACAACCAATGGAAATATTTCCTTAGTGTTTTATACTGCAATTGTATACTTGCCAGATATGTACACGCCTTTTCTTCCAAGGCAGTCCAATGTGTATGATGAAGTTCACTTTCCTAACATGCTCAGTAGCATTTGTAAAGCTACTGTCTGGTGCCTTCTATAGTGTCTTAA